GGGGGGATAAGAATGGTGGTAATTGAAATTGATGGAAGTAAAAAATATAAAAAATCGACGTTTTATAAAAATTCTCAACCTGAAACCCACAAGACTTTGAATGTACCAAAGACCATACCCATGCACGGTAGTAAACAAGGAGAGGACATAAACGTTCGGGAGAGGGGAGACGAAATACAAACAGACGCTAAAGTGATGAAGTGTTCAAATTACACTTTCCGGCTCTCACTGCAGCAGTCAGCTCACACATGCACCTCACCTCTCTGAGAATTCCCATTATAAAGACATCGTAAAAAAACAAAAACGGCAGCAAATCTCACTTCTTCAGACACTCCATTATATGATTACACAAAAATCTCGTCTAAAAATAGGCTATCGGGTTACGATAACGCCATTCTTTAAAGTTTAATGAAGCAGGAAAGGAAAACTGGGTGAGGAGGAGGGAGTGCGGTGTTCACAGGAGGAGGGGAAAATAATTGTGATGAAGAGCTAGATGACGTTTACTGGCGAAGGTACTAGACTCACTCTCACAAATGAGGGTTCTGAACCATGCTTAGCAGAATTTAATACTTTTGAGGATGTCAACTCAATAGATAAAAAAATGTGGCACGACGGCTGAGATAGAGGCTTTAGGTAAAACTAGCTGACAAAGGGAACTCATGCGGTTTCTGTCGTCTGCACTTGTAACTTGGTGTTCTACAAATCCTCCTTGCAGTTTCTCGTTTTTCTTTCAACCTTCCAGGTTTTAAACGCCAAGTTCTTCAATGCAAGAAGAAAACACTCCTAAAGCATGAGACCAAACCTCGCCAGATTGAAAAATGACTTGTTATGGATTCGAACTAAGATCACCAAAGCCTTACCGAAAATGAAAGCGAAAGCTAGCATTAGCAACATTAGAACGTTTTGAACATTTTTAAAAAAAAGGACTCAGGTAATACAAATTGAGCCAGTAGAAGCTATCAGTCGTTCTGATAGTCATCAACAAAAAATACTAAGTAAAAGAAACCAAAAATACTCACCTTCATCTCTTGCCTGATCTGTTTGACCGCTGTCAGAGAGCCCTGGTGAGAGAAAGATAGATACTGAAGAAAACCGGAGCATTTATGAAACCAGAACTTGTCCTACTAATTATCTTTTCTAAATTCAGTTCGAGTCGTGATGCAGTGTATAGAAAAAGAGTGCAACTCTGACTACCTTGTGTCACCCTCTTACGAACAATTTGCTAATAGGAACCAAAGAGTGTTTGCCCCTTCTTGTTTTCTATTCCAAATTTATAGCCTTTAGCCTTATTGTTACAATATCTTCTTTTT